GTCAAAGCCGCAAATGTGGAGGGACGAGTGGACAGGATCTGTTGTGTGCCTTCACATTGCTTCTGACTTGCAGCGACCCTGTGGTCTTTTCATGGGCTTTTCTTGTAAGATTTATTCAGAGGGGTTTTGCCATTGCCTTCCTCTGAGGCTGAGAGCATATGACTTGCCCAAGGTCATCCAGTGAGTGTCAGTGACCAAACTGAGAATCAAACCCTGGTCTCCAGAGTCGTGAATAATCCATGAATAATCCAATCTGCAAAAGTCAAATTCACAAATGTGGAGGGACGACTGTACCTTCAAATGATAATATCATATGCACAGCCTCAGTGTATTTACATAAACATAGTGAAGATTGGATTAAAATGTGATGTTTTTAAAGAAAATTTTAAAAGAATTAAAAATATTTTTTACAAAAATTGAAATTTTAATTTAAAAAAATTATTGGGCCTCTCTTTTCCCCTCCTACTGAGCTTCATCCCACTCCCACCGTCTCTTAAAGCATTTTAGGAGATTATCGCACTACACTCTTATAAGTGTTGGTATTCAGCTTCAACTGTTCTGACCGTCTCCTGTTTAATTTTGAGGTTTATATTTCATTGAGGCCCTAAGAGCTCTCTGGCTGAATATTCTAAATGCCCCTTCCTAAACTGCAAATCCCAGAATGTAACAAGAGGCAACCAGACCAGCTAAAGTGGAATAGCAGCACTGTAGTGCTATAGTCTCCTTAAAAGGAATCAGGTGAATGCCACAGCCCATTTCTGCCCAAAGGTAGGTGTCTGAGGAGCAGTGGTGTCACCTGGTGCGGACCACACATCCTGAACCCCCCTAGTGCACTGGTGCAGAGGGTGTGGACCACACCAGGTGACACTCTTAGGCAGGTTGAAACCACTGCTCCCCAAACAAGGTGACCGCATGTCTCCACTGGACAAGGTACCCCAAAATGTAGGGTCTTCAAGGAAAAAATGAGGGACATGACCAAAGAAGAGCTACACAACACTCCTGTGAATGTAAAATTCATGCTTCTTAGACTCAAAGATCCTAGAACAGGGGTAGGCAACCTAAGGCCCGGGGGCCGGATGCGGCCCCTTGAGGCTTTTGGATCGGCCCCAGGCTGGTCCTGCCACCACCGCCGCCATGATGATATTGATTGTTTTTATTACTTGTTCTTGGGGTTTTCTTGGAAAAATCTCCACAGGGGTTTTGCCATGGCTTTTCTGGGGCTGAGAGAGTGTGCATGCATATTTTCTAAATTTTTAATATATTTTTTTACTTTTTATTTTTTTATTTATTTTTGGTGCTTCGGCCCCCCAATTGTCTGAGGGACAGCAACCCGGCCCCAGGCTCAAAAAGGTTGCCTACGCCTGTCCTAGAATCATAGAGTTGGAAGAGACCACAAGGGCCATCCAGCCTCTGTTTAAAGTCCTCCAAAGAAGGAGACTCCACCACACTCCAAGGGAGTGTCTTCCACTGTCAAATAGCTCTCACTGTCAGGAAGTTCCTCCTAATATTGAGGTGGAATCTCTTTTCCTGCAGCTTGCATCCATTGTTCTGGGTCCTGTTCTCTGGGGCAGCAGAAAACAAGCTAGCACCCTCTTCAGTATGACATCCCTTCAAATATTTAAACAGGGCTATCATATCCTCTCTTAACCGTCTCTTCTCTAAGCTTAACATATCCAGATGGACGATGTTTTGGAATTTCCTCCTGGATAGGAAGGTTGAAATGGAGGGTGTGTCCTGAAAAAGGAGGATCTCTTGTCACCCTGTGTAGAGCATAGTACAATAACATCCCAAATCTACAAAACAGTGGTACTAGGGTTTTAATGATGCCAGCTTAGGTTGACCAGATGTCCTAACCCCAAAGGAGGACAAGGCACAGCAAAAGTGGAGGACTGCACAACACTCCTAAAAATATAAAATGCATGTTTCCTAGTCATGCTCAGAATGGAGGACATTTTAGAATCCCTCCTGGACAGGAAGGCTGAAATGGGGGCATGTCCTGGAAAAGGAGGATCCCTGATCAGCCTGTCCCCAAACACCCTCTGCCTTTGGGCAGAAATAAGCTGTGGTGCTCACTTGTGTCCCTTTAAAATGCTGAAGAGATGGTGTGAGTGGGACAGGGCTCAGTGGCAGGGGAAAGGAGAGGCTCCAGGTGTTGTTTTTTTAACTACATTTTTTTTAAATTAAAAAAATCTTTTTTAAAAAAAAATCAAAAACATCACATCTTAACCAAGTGTTCACTTTAAACACATGAAATTATATACATGTGTAAATACATTTTGGTTTTGTGTGGGATATTGTAATTTAAATGTATCATGTTCATTTTGCTAGTTGTTTAGGTCGTAACTCTTGCCATTACACTGTTCAAAGGGATCTCGCAGCACCTTTGAGAGTAACCTGTGCCTTCAGGTTGTTTTTGACTTATAGTGACCCCAGGCCCATATCATGGGGTTTTCTTG